AAAGAAACTGAAGGGAAAAAGACCCCAGTCTGGCTGACCTTCGTATATAGGAAGTCAACTGAATGGTTTTTCTCAGTGGGAAGCCTTGGGATTTTGCGATGTAGAGCTCATTAGCTGCATGTACTTCATTAGCTTGAGTTTTGCTTTTTGACTGCTGAATGAAATTTCAGCCTAACTTGTGCTTTGGAAAAAAAAAAAAAATACTGTACAATTGACCCTTTACAAAGACCCGCTACCCTTTGTTACTGTTGCTATGTCCGCTCTCGCCAGGGATTCTCACGCAGTGAAAAATACATCACGGAGTAAAGAGGAAACTGACAACACGCCAACAGACAAGACAGAGCAGGTTACTTTTGGTATCAAACTAAGTCTCAGCTTTCAAATATTGTCTAAAAAAAAAAAAAAAAACATTCAAACAATAAGTACTGTTTTGTGGCTCTTTAATGTGTTGTGACAGATTGCTGTAGCGTCTCAGTTCAAGCGACACATGAACCGATCATCTCTTCCTCTACTAGTTGTAGTACAAAATAAACATGAATGAACATCAGAAGGTATCTTATTTCAACCGCGGAAAGACAACACTCCATTTTTCAAGTTCACCAACATTAATCTACTCTCCTGTCAGTTTTTTTTTTTTGGACAAAAATGGCAGATTTGGCGTTATGATTGGTCAGATCACCGGTCAATCAAACTCCCTACAAAGGGTCAATTAGAGAAAGCGGTTGAGAGGACATTGTTACCTTGTTAACCTATTTTTTCCCCTTTTTTTACTTATTTCTTGTCTTTTTAATTTTAGTTGTTTGCTTTTTTTGATTCATTTGTTTATTTATATTCACTTATTCTATTTTTATTTACTTGACTAATTTTATTTGCCTTTTTATTTATTTACATATTCTACATATATTTGTAGATATATTTAAATATATTAGTAAAATTTATTTACATGTATTATTAAAATAATACTATTTTATTAATTTATCTAATTTACCACTTTTTTTTAAAAATTGGTATTCATTAATTTATTAATTACTATTTTGATTTACTTGTTTATTCACTTATTTATATTTATTCACTTTATATATATATATATTGTGTGTATGTATATATGTATTCATTTATTTATCCATTATTTTTTTATTCATAATAGAAATAATAATTTATAACTTATTTTTATTTACTTAATTTACTTTTTGCATTTTATACTTTTTCATTTTAGTTTAGTTACAGTTTGCTTTTCTTACTGATTTTAATTACTTATATATTTTCTATATCTAATCTAAATCTATATTTTATTCCTATTTATTCATTTTTATTTAGTCAGTCACTGAATATGCTTGAAAATACATCAATACATTGCCATGCTTTTCCCATGCAAGGCCTTATGGGTAACTCTTCCAGTCTCAGCAACAACTGTTTGTTAAAGCAGTTTCTACTAGCAACATTTTTATTTTATTTTTTACTTTATTTTATTTCGAAGAATTCTATGTTAACATAGCCATACTTTTTGAATCAGTTTGGGTTAGCTGAAATGTCTTTGGCTTCTAAAATCATTAGGCACTTTTTTTTTTTTGTGCAATTTTTGTAATTAATGTAATAAAATATTACAATTTGCTATGCAGAAACAGAACATCTTGATAATGTTAACTCAACTTTTTAAAAATTTTTTTATTGTAAAGCAAAAGACTCCGCCAAAAGTATTATTTAACCTTGATTAAGCTATTTTCGAATATTTCGTGCATTGTAGACAGCACTAGTCATTATTTCTGTAGCTAATGATCAGTCAGGGATCGGATATCGAGGAAGAGGGAAACTGAGCTGTGTGTTCAGACAACACTGGAATGTCCTTTACTGCAGTTGAGTCATGCAGAAGCGCATCTCAGACAAAAGAACAAATGTGATGCGTACTTTTATTAGCCGCGCGCCACAGGCCGTCTGCCAGTGCTTAATGACGGGAGCAGATGCTAATCAGCAGGAATGTCTCTGCGAGCGCAGGGATCAGTGCTTCATTGATCAGTCACATAACACAGACTCAATGCTCTCCTCTCATTTGCCAATACGCCATCGATCTGTTTGTGACTGCAGCCTTTGAAAACCAATAAGAGGGTCAATGGATGATGAGATCGCCTTCCAGCCATTCACATGATACACCTCATTAGACACGTTACATCATGCAGAAGCAGTCAGTCGCACTGCTAACAGAGAGGGTTGGCCAGTGCGTACAGTATTTCACTGTATATCTTTGTTTTGTATTGTCATTTGACATTCTTGTTTTAAAAATAAAAGTACTCAAAAGAAAGAGGCTGCAGTCTCATATAAATGAATAAAACGAGGAGCAGTGCACACGCATCCAGACATCAGACATGGGCAAGTCTCTTTACAGAGTCAGAGCTGAAAAAGACAGCTGAATAAAACGGTTCAACTATAAAGAAACGACTTCTTTGAAGTAGTGAATGTACCGTGGCAGTCAATTTCAGATCTCTCTGAGTTTCTTTGTCTGCCTTGAAGGGAAAAGTTCACCTCAGAATGAAAACTGTCATGCATTTATGCACACTCATGTCTTTCAAACCCGTTCCTGTTTTTGAAAAAAGTCATACTGGTTTGGAATAACATAGGGGCCAGTAAATGATGGCAGTTTTCATTTTTGAATTAACAGTTCCTTTTGTTTAGTAGTTTAGATATTCTATAATACTGATAATTATACTTTTAATGTATTAATATGAATTAATATAACATTTATTATATTTATGAATATTAATATCAGTATCATTATATTGATACTATGCTTACAATAAAATGTAATGTTACATGCTATTTATAAATATAATTACATATTATTATTATTATTATTATTATTATTATTATTATTATTAAAAAATGACCATTGTAATTATTTAATGTTTTATATTATAGCTATAACAATAAAAGAAAACATTTAACTATGTTTATAAATATTATATTTATTGTTGTTGTGAGCTAGAATTGTGTATGCAATCTGTTAGCAGGTCTGGTTTTGCTCTTGATATCACCTTACTGTCATGAAGTGACTGGTCTCCAGCAGACTGGATGCTGTGAGGTCAGGCTGAACTCAGGCCGTCTGCTACATGAAGCTGCAGAACATACGCTGTTTCAGGGTCGGTTTCGCCTCCTAGATTAAAATGATGCAAATCAGTCTGGGCAGGTTGGAGAGCCTGATCCTGGATCAGCACCCATGCAATGAGATTAATGTGTGATACGGATCCAGGCCCTCGAGGGAGGCCGTCCTGATAGCTGCATCAAGTTGGCTCGGGGCTCTGCAGATGAGTCATAATGCAGCAAACATCAGCATGGATCTCTGATTCTTCCACTTGGCTCAGTCGAGGCAAAAATCACTCAAATCTCCTTAGGTCCGTTTGAATTACATTAGGGATTGCTGACTCAGTGGGATTTGGTTTCTGTCCCACTCCTTTGGTCGGGGAGCCTTAATTTATAATTTACAAATTACTAATTAGATTGGTAATGGACTAGAGATTTTGATCTTGAACAGGTGGCCACCATTGCAGTTGCTGTGGAGGTTTGAAAGTGTCCTATGCTCAAAAAAGAAATTATTTCAGACTTTTGACTGGTTGTGTATATTTTTCTATTGGTAAGATTTCTTGAGCATCTTTTTTTCTGTCTCCCATATTGATTTTGAAGTGCTCTGGTGCAGGAACAGGCGTGATGCCCTGAAAGCAGGCGTGAAAGCTTAATTGTTTTTGTGTGTAAATTGCGTCTTTAAAAATGCATGAATGAGTGCAGATATTGGCAAATCTGCCTGCCGATCCTGCGGGATTCACGGTGAAAGCCCTTGGAGGGTCGTCCCGTCAGGCGGATGCTCATTTCCTGCATGTCTCCCTGATGACATTATTTCAGTGTGACAGCAGAGAGGTGTGAAGGCCACAGCGGGCCCTCAGGCCCCTCAAACCAGACACTTCACAATTACACCACCTGCACAGGCATGACAGGCTCAAAGCACCCGCTGTCTCCACACCACAGCACTATTATGACTCTGTCCTATAATTACAGCACAATCCACAAGGACAGAAATGTCTGCATTGCATATTTGGGATTTAGAGTGGTGTAATGTAAAAGTTGGAATTCAGTGTGTGTATAAGAAATAAAAAATATGTAAACTGTAGATATAGGAAGTTCGAATATGGAAAGTCCACAAAAACATGCAACTGTATATGCAGGTTTGTGTGATGGCTATTTATTTATTTGTTTGTTTGTTTGCAGCATGTTGTTGTTATGATTATTATCTATTACTGTTGCTACTGTTCTATCTTTTTCTTGTTTGTGATTTATATTGTATTTTTAAGCATTATTATTATTATTATTATTATTATATTATTTATTAACTACTACTGTTTTCATGTTGTTTGTGATTGTTTATTTTAGATATTTATATTTATTTTAAGCCTTATTATTACTATATTATTATCGTCATCATCATCATCATCAAGTTATTTATTTATTTGTTTGTATTTATTTTAGTTATTTATATTAAGCCTTATTATTACTAGCATCATCATCAATATTTATTTATTTATTTATATTTATTTTAAGCCATTATTATTATTATTATTATTATTATTGTTATTATTATCAAACCAGTGCATTTTTTATTACCAATGTGTATATATATTTATTTACTTACTAACTACTACTGCTGTGTTTTATCTTTTGTTGTTGTTGGTTTGTTGTTTGTGATTTTATTTATTTATTTTAAGCATTATTATTATTATTATAGAATATACCAGCTATATAGCAGTAGCAGCTTTGACATGTTCACAAAGCATTTTGGTGGAACATAGACCAGTGACAGACTTGTTGAATGATCTGGAAATAAGCAACAGGTTGACTTCTAAAGGCACTTTTTGTGAAGTAGCTTTGAATAAAAGGATTTCAAAAAAGAAACATCATCCATAATTTAAGACAATAAGGCTTTGTCCTTTTTTTCTCTTTTGTTCTCTTTGTCACTGCAGCAGGCTCATCTGCCCCTCACCACGTCGTCTTTTCATGCTGAGTCTAAGTGTGCTTCACGAGCCACCAAAATAGCTTTGCTTCATATGGCGTGAGGGTTTGAAACCCTCTGCTCATGTCCATGCTCATCTGCTGGCAACCTGGCTTACATAACTCTCCCTCACACTCCCAAGACAATGGGAAAGACGGAGCAAACAATGTAAGAAAACAAACGACTGTCCTACTTTAAAAGAGCAGCGAGGCAATGTGAACGCAGCTCCCTCTCGTCCCTTCCTCTCTGCAGTCCAATTTGCATATTCGTCCTAAATAATGTGCAAGATTAGAATCCGCGCATCCCAATTGAGAGGATGTTGAATACAATATGCCAGGCAGGATGGTGCAGTTATTTCCAGTGGGTTCTTGAAATGATATATTATATTATAATATATTATATTATATATTATGGTGTATTCATGTCTTGGCTTTCTTCTTTATTCATAGCAGAGAGTTTGCTTTGCCCGTCGGCAGACACAGATGACATCAGGGGCCAGTAATGTTTGGAGCACCTGTGCCGGAGGGCCCTGTATTTACCGACACTGACGGCTCAGACTATGGAATGTTGTGTAAACACTGGAAAGAATCCGGGGGATCCCTTAAACCTGAGGGTTAAGACTGTCCTCAGGCTGCCAACACCTCAGCTCTCAGCATGTTTGAGCTTGAAAATATGCAAGGCAGTGATTTTTTTTTTCTCTTTCTTTCTTTTTCTACTTTGCCCTTTGTGTTTAAGTCTTATACATCCAGAAACTTCTATCATTGTGGTTGGTTTTCACACTCACTAGATTTCCATAAGTGCAAAATCAAGTTGCATAATTCTTGCCATGCATTACAGATTTTTAAGATTTTAATTAATTAATTAATTAATTAGTTTGTTTAGCTGTGTCTTTGCTAAATCCTTTCAAACGTCAAAACGCATCTAAACAGTTCAAAAGCCCAAAAACCTGTTAACCAGCTGATGCCAGCCAAGACTTAACAAAAAATAATTTCAGAATTGTTTAATTGCACTAAAGCATTACATATTGACAGCTATTTTTTATTTTAAAGTAAAAAAATAATTGAAATGTACTTTCTTGCTATATTACAGCTATTTTATTTGTTTTATTTTGATGTAATATTTATTTTCACATTTTGGTGTTGATTTTGAGGAGAATCTGTGAATTTATTTATTTTTTAATAAATGAAAAACACTGCAATAAAATAAAAAGTAAAAAATAAATAAAATATAAAATAAAGTAAATATAAAAAAACTAATTTCCCGTTGTTATACACTCTTAAAAATAAAGGTGCTTCACGATGCCACAGAAGTTCTTCTATGGCATCGCTGTGAAGAACCTTTTAAGAACCTTTATTTTTAAGAGTGTATTGAGAAATATTATATTTCCCAATAGAATTTCCCTGTTAGTGTAATAGCAGTCTGAACAAATAATTTTGAACAATATTGTTAATTTGTGAGCTCCGAGAATGCACTGCAGCATGAACAATTTGTGTGGTTTATAACTGGCATCAGAGAATAATATATACATTTACCATTGCACACTTGCTTGGGGTCCAATTTCAAAAACCTCCAAAAAACGTGAGATTCAAATGAACACCTAGTTTTCCCAAAGACAGGGATTTAGATTGACGGCACCCAGAGAAACGGTCCTGACCGTTTACCCATAGCTCCATTTTCGTACAAGCGCAAGCACGTTTTATGTTGTTTGGTTTTCCCATTTGACTCTAAAGTCCGCGTTTGTTTACAGAACACTGACCCGCAGAGTATCCTGTTTTCAGCATTTTTTGCTGTCAGCCTTGACCTGAAACCATTTTGAGTCTTTCTCCACCCCGTTCAGCTTGTAAAACTGACAGCAAAAAAATCTCACATAAAAATGCCTTTTTTGAAATTGCCATTTACATTCTCACAGACTGTGCTTACAACGTGCTTGTGCCAACTAATTGTTAAAAACCTTTGAATAAAGCTGGATTTGTTGCCCTAAGAAGTAAGTGAACAGCCCTATCTAGTCATAAACAATGAAAGGAGAGACACACACACTTCTAAACATCTTTCAGAAAGTCAGTTCAAAGACTAATTCATGACCTCTGCTTCCCCCCCAGGGGTGTTTGTGCAATTCATTGAGTCTGTGTGTGTGTGTGAAAGCCGCATACCACAGAGCTTCACGCCGTGTTCAGGCTCTTAAAAGCAGGATAGCGCAGGCTGCTGTCGATGGCATCGCTGGGGAAATTAGTGGCTGATGTCGTCTGCTTATTCTGTCACAGACGTATTGGGGCTAATGGAACATATTGATCTGGCATGTCTGCTTTAATTAAATGTAAATGGGTGATGAGCTAGTGGTGTGCATCACAGTGAGGGTGAATCCAGTGAAGAGAGTATGAATGCTGCTTTGTGCCCGTTTTATCTCTGAGCTCTCATACTGTACGCGTAAATGAGCTGGGCCACTGCCAGCGCTTCTGTGTGGGTGGCTGTAATTATAATTGATATTATATAATTAAAGTTGTCTTGTGGACGGGAAATTCTTGCAACATGCTGTTGTCTCTTTCTCTCTCATTTTCTAACGCCCAAGAGAGTAAAAATACTGGGCCGGACATATTCAATAGATTTTTGCATTGTTGTGGCTGGCATTATAACATTACTTTGCCAACATAATGGGAAACTAATGTTGAAATGCTGTAATTTAATATAAAATATAAATGTAATAAAATTTTACTACAACAAAAGTCTGGATTTTTTTTGTTGAATATCCTGCATTTATTTGATAAATACAATAAAAACTAATTTTGTGAAACAAACAAACTATTTAAAATAAGTATTTTAAATAAATTTTAATGCAATTTATTCTATTGTTTTTAATAAAAATAATAAAAATAATAGTAGTTGTTGTTTATTATTATTACTATTATCCTCTTTTTTTAAACAATTATTTCAGCATCATTACGCCAGTCTTCAGTGTCACATGGTCCTTCAGAAATCACTACATGCTGATTTGGTGCTCAATTATTATTACTATCACTTATTATCATTAATCTTTTTTTTTTTTTAATATATTTTTAGCAGTCATTACTCCAGTCGTCAGTGTCACATGATCCTTCAGAAATCATTACATGCTGATTTGGTGCTCAATTATCATCCATCCATCCGTCCATCCGTTTTTGTTGCTTAATAAATTATTAAAATAAAAATAATAATAAATGTAATTATTTAATAATAATAATAATATTTATTATTATTATTATTATTATGTGCATTTGAGTATAATTAAATATTGACTTGATATATGATATAATGTCTATTATCTATTAATGTGTATTGGCAAAAATATTTGAGTAATTTTAGCAATACTGACAAGTTCTTCCAGTAGAAAATAAAGCAGACTATTTAATAAAAACCTATTTAAAAAAAAATCTTCAGCTGTGAAAGCATGAAAGTGAAAAAGTGAAAGTGACATGACATGTGGCCAAGTATGGTGACCCATACTCGGAATTAGTGCTCTGCATTTATCCCATCCAAAGTGCACACACACAGCAGTGAACACACACACACCGTGAACACACACCCGGAGCAGTGGGCAGACATTTTTTGCTGCGGCGCCCGGAGAGCAGTTGGGGGTTCGGTGCCTTGCTCAGGGGCACCTCAGTCGTGGTATTGAAGGTGGGAGAGAGCGCTGTACATTCACTCCCCCCACCTACAATCCCTGCCGGTACGAGACTCGAACCATGATAAATCCTTATTCACACTGATCACCCAAGAGACGTCCAAAAAATGATTTACCAGAATCGTTCATTTAAGCAAATGCTGTATATATTATGAAGTTTTATTCTTGTCACCACAGATGAAAAAAAAATGAAGGCTGAAATAATGTAAATGACAAAAGTAATGATGAAATCTACATGGCAGATGCTTCATTAAATGTGCAAATAATTTAATTATTTTTATTTTGTTCCGAACATTCCCAGTGTGAAAATCAATGCAGGCTTCTGAAGTTAGTGAGATTTGCGCTGAAGATTTCAAACGGGCAAAAGAGACCTGTTCAAATATACATGAGTGAAATGCTTTACAGCCTCAATTATGCACCAGTTCAGAGAGAACCGAGGCAAAACACATTTCTGCATTTCAATTAGCAAACTCTCTCAGCATGAGGTTGCCAATGCTGATCTGCCAAACAACTGCATTCAAAGACCAAACATCTTCCATACACAAGGGGAGGCTAAACGTGCAAATGAGTTTGAAACTCATTCGTTATAGTGCACATGTGGTTCAGACTGCTATAAATGCTATTCTTTTTATATTCCTCAATGAATCATGAAACAAATCACAGTCAAACTTTCCAAAAAATATTAAGCAGCACAAATTATTTCAGCATGAATAAGAAATGTTTCAAATCGGCATATTAGAATGATTTCTGAAGGATCATGTGAGACTGAAGACTGCTGAAAATTCAGCTTTGCATCCCAGGAATAAATTACGTTTTAAAATCAATCCAATTTGAAAACTGATATTAATGTAATTTTTAACAGTATTTTTTGATCAAATAAATGCAGCCTTGCTGACCATAAGAAAAAACATTAAAGACCCCAAAAGTTTGAACAATTTACTAGTCAAAGGTATTGGAATAACTTTATTTTTTTTTAAAGCCTCTTATGCTCACCAAGGCTGCATTTGATTACGAATACAGTAAAACAGTATTATTGTGAAATATAAAAATAACTTTTTTATATTTTAATATTTTCAAATGTAATTTTCAGAATAAACACAAGTAATGGCTGCTGAAAATTCAGTTTTGCCACCACAGGAATAAATAACATTTGCAAATATATTAAAATGGATAATTATTTTAATTAATAATATTTCCAAATTATTCCGAACTTATTTTTTCCCATGTTTATATATATATATATATATATACATACACACACACACATACAACAGGTTTGTAATTTCCATGAGTACAAATCTTAATGTTTAAGCATATAATGCTATTCTAGGGAATTGCGAGTCCTAATCCCAGCTGAACACCTCTGGTGTAACTAAATGCAGACCTTGAGCCAAAGACTCATCACCAATCACTTGTACATGGGTACATTCATTTTAGACACTTTCAAAACTGTTGAAACAGAGATGGAAATACAATTTTTAAATACATGAATTATGTTTCCATATTTGTTGCCACAGTTTTGGAAGTGTGTTTTCTGTTCTAAAGAAGGGGGTGTCCCAATATTTTTGTCCATATAGTGTATGTACAAGTGATTGGTGTTTGGTGACGAGTTTTTGGCTCAAGGTCTGCATTTAAAGTCACACCAGAGGTGTTCAGCTGGGATTAGGACTTGGCTTTCTGCAGACCAGTCAAGTTCTTCCACACTGACCGAATTAATCATTTATTTTTTAACCTTGCCTTATCCATTGTCATGTTAGAATAGAAAAGGGTCCTGTCCAAACTGTTGCTATAAAATTAGATGCACACAATCCTTTAGAATATCATTATATGCTTGCTTAAACATTTAAGATTTTTACTCATGGAAATTACTAAAGTAGTCAAACTTGTTTATCAGAAGGGGGTGTCCTAATACTTTTGGCAATATAGAGAGAGTGTGTGTGTGTGTGTGTGTATGTGTATATATATATAATATTGTCTTGGCTTCTTAAATTCTTAATATTGGCTTCTTAAAATTCCTGAACCTTGTGAAGGTCTTTTTCTTTGGTGTGTAAGTAGCAGCCAGTGGCTGTTATTTGAGCCCAGTCCTCAGGGCTAGCAGGTGGCCTGAAAGGCAAAATGAGTGGCAGGAGAGACTGGGTTCAACATTCTTGCCTAGCAGTGGATTTACCTTCCATTCACCCAGGTTGCTCCGTCTCCTAGCGCCTGTGCCCTTGTCTGTCTGTCTTTGGGGGCCTCCTCACCCCTCCCACAATCCACTGGGCTGTCAGCCACAGTACCAAATTAGAAGCTTGAAAGGAAATCACAGCGAGTCTTGTCATGATCTCCTATCTAAGAGAACAAAATTATTTAGATGTTGGATATTTCATGTATGTTCCACTGCCACAGTAAGTGGTCAGTTTTTGATAAATCCAAATTGAAATATTCACACTGCTCCATCGCATTCCAAACCGACCAGTAAACACTCTTGCTGCAGTGCACCAATGTATCCGTCAGATGTGCTAATAGCTTCTCACAGGCTTAAGAGTAAACATGAACTCGATAAAAACTTTGCAAAGAGGTGCCTCAAGGAATCATTATGAAATGCCAGCCTCCGTTTCCAGACGACTGCACAATTTCCTGGACTCGGTGCCCTCTCCTATTTTAGGGAATAAAGCGGATGTTTAAAAAACAGCCACAATAAATCTGCGCCTCTGGCATTGCCCTTGGCATAGCCGCCCTATAAAAGAGGCTCAATGCATGCTTACCAATAATCACATTTTATTTAAAAAAAAATTTTCACACAGCTTCATTTTGATCAGAACATATCACATGTGTAGGGTCAACGGTATTATAAATTGCACTTTTTTAAATGGAGATATTGTCAAATGACTATTTTGGTTTGCGTCAAAAAAAAGAAAAATCAGTTTTCAACTTATTGGCTACCTATTTTTTTCAAGTGTGCTTGCTAATAACATAAAATTGTTGATCAACATCCAGTATCCATGAATTTTCTTTTATCTGTTCCTATGTCCTTAAGAAACAAAATCCTAACTAAAATATTATTTCAATATGAACTAAAATTCCCCAGTGCAACCACAAATCTAACACATAAATTCTATCTGTAGGAGCAGGAAACCTCATGCAATGGATAACATTTCTAATTTAAGAGGCATTTCAAAAAAATCCATGCGGATTTAGCTTGAGCATTATAAGATTTGGCTAATAGCGTAAAGCTTGTTCCTGTTACGTCAAAAAACCTTGGATGTGTTGTGGAGGAGTTTTCAGAGAGGAATCCAGGCACTTTTTTTAAACCTCCAGGGTGCTTATGAAACCAGTCTGCAAGCATCAAAAATCATTTATTCAAACCCTTCAACTGACTGAATGAGCAACAAATACATCTACCGGTATTAGGCACCAGGAATTCAGTTCACAAGGATGCCTGTGGGATCTGCTGCATAATCCCAGAAAGTCCCCTTCAAATGGAAATGTTTAGCAGCGAGTCATTTACTACAGAAGATAAACTCCCCCCAAAACACAATTCAAATTCATATCCCTTTTCAAGAGCTTTAAGACTGTAAGTGAGCAAGAAAACCAACCTTCAACAATAATGGTTGAAACAATACTAATTAAGCTCAATCAATTAGGGATAAAAAATGACTTGTTCTTCCTTTTCTTTAAAGGGTTCGATCACCCAAAAATGAAAATTGTCATTAAATACTCACCCTCATGTGGTTCCAAACCCGTAAGACCTTTGTTCATCTTTGGAACGCGAAGACATTTTTGATGAAATTTGAGAGCTTTTTGACCCTGCAACTGCCACGTTCAAGACCCAGAAAGGTAGTAAGGACATTGTTAAAGTCCATGTGACATCAGTGGTTCAACTATAATTTTATGAAGCTACGAGAATACTTTTTGTGTGCAAAGAAAACAAAAATAATGACTTTATTCAACTATTTCTTCTTACATGTGTCAGTCTTCACCGCGCATTCACAACAGTACCACGATGCATATGTGTGCATTCTTCTGCTTGTAAACAAGCTGCAGCGCATCTGGGTTCTACGTCAGAATGCCGGCTCCTGCTTCAGCAGCCCCACACGCATGCGTCATGACAGGGAAGAGAAGAAATCGTTGAATTAAGTCATTATTTTTTTCTTTTCTTGTAGCTTCATAAAATTACGGTTGAACCACTGATGTCACATGGACTATTTTAACGATGTTCGTACTACCTTTCTGGGCCTTGAACGTGTCAGTTGCGTTGCTATCTATGCAGGGTCAGAAAGCTCGGATTTCATAAAAAATATCTTAATTTGTGTTCTGAAGATGAACGAAGGTCTTATGGGTCCTATAGGAAAAATTAGCTAACCCTTTAAAAACAGGCAAAAATGGATGTTACGGTTAGGCATTTAAAATGGGGACTAGGTGAATGGATATAGAAGCAGAAATATGTGAGCATATTTGATCAAAGCACATTTAATTTTTGTTGTTAAAATGTGTATTATTTAAACTATAAAGCGGTTTAAAATTGTAGTTTTTTTTTTTTTTTTTTTAGGGCTTTGCAAATTTAAACGAAGTTATTTACACAAATCATGTTAACATGCATATTTACGTCTTGTGACTGTACTATAGAAGCAGTGAGAATTTTAGTGTTTACAAAATGGCCCCATTGTAAATACCTCACTGGAACCCAGATTTGTTTTGCATTTTCTTTTACAGAAAGAGGAAATAGTTGAAATTCAAAAACATTATGCCACAACGGCTGTCGACAGAGCTTAACTTGTATTAAACCTAGAAAATTCCTTTTAAGATTCCAGCATTCAATTAGAAAGGAAAATGGTAACCAACATCAACACCCTCATCATCCATCAGGTACTCATCATGTGCAATTTTTCCATTACTGCTTTGTTTAGTCACAAACACATAAATTAAATGCATTTATCAAATGTTTCAACCTTCAAGAAATCTTAAAACGAGAGGAAGTCCTTGATAATACATTGTGCTGTAGAATCTATACAAGTTCCAGGTTAAAATCCATTTCACAGAAGTACCACAGGCATTTTACATCCTGCTTGAGTAAACTTGCACTTTCCCATGGGGATGTTCTGCATTTCTATAGATATTTCAGATGTTTTGTTTTAAACGCAGTGTCCGTAAGGCGTTTTGGACGTAACACGAACATGAACAAGCTGTACTGCCAATCAAAGTGAAGATATTTTCACGAAGTGAAATCATGCTTTAGTTGTCATTTATCATAGTTCACTGGAATGTTCTTGACCTCGATGGATTGCAAAAGAGTTTCCAAAGAGTAGGTATTGGCGTAAGAGTGTATTGTGTCCTTGTGCCTCTGATTTGGCAATGAACACGCATGGCATGAGTTAGTATTGTGCTGTAGGGAGAAGGCCTTTGTGGCCTCTCTTCTGGAGATTTTTCAGCTCTTCTCTGTGGCTCCTCTCAGCAGTGGATAGATGGTTTGTTTTCGAGAGTGGCCGTGACCGATCGCAGCCACACCACACCCACCCAGCAGAGGTGCTTCAGGCCAGCCAATGACAATCCAGCCCTGCTGTCGTCCATTCAGTGTGGCTAGAAGACCAGGGCACCTGCAATGAGAGACGGCACAGTATAAAACCAGATTTTAGAGCTCCAAGCCAAACGCTGTAATTTGAATCCAGCCAATGCACTCCAACTTCATGCAAATGTAAGAGGCCATTTAAATTGACTGGGAGAAATGTCAGGGATGAAAGAATGGCACATTTCTGGTGCCTCTCTACCTTACTATCACCATATTGGGCTTAGTCAATCCAAGCAAAAAAGTTTGAGTAATGAAAACTAAAGCATAGTTTGAGTCACAAACAATGCATGTGTGAAGAATGTAGTCTGATTCACTAATTTCTCTGAGTGGTTCTTTTTAGTAAATAAAAAAAATACAGCGTAACCAAAGTAAACCGATTCTTTATTTGGCACCTATGAACTGTATGGGTGTCGAAATTAATCGTATCTACGATGCATCGTGATGCAGACGAGGACGATTCGGTATCGGTTCAGTAATGGACCATTACCGATTATAACGTACTGACGCTTTTCTGACGTCATTTGTCACATACATGCTTTGTCACGGTAGCATACAATGGCGGAGGGAGGCAAGACGCGAGTGAGAGCAATTAAAAATGCTCCAACTACTTTAAAAGCCAACATCTGGGCTCATTTCGGCTTTTATGAACAACCTGGTAAGCACGACCTGGAAGAAGACACATGCTGTGTGTAAATCATGTCACACACAAATAAAATATGCAGGGGGTAATACCACTACCTTGAGAAACCACATCAGCCGTTTTCTCCCTGAGCTGTTAAAGGGTTAGTTCACCCAAAAATTAAAATTAGCCCATAAATTACTCATCCTCAAGTCATCCTAGGTGTATATGACTTTCTTCTTTCAGACGAATCCAGTCGGAAAAAATTTTTATGGATGGGCGCATTTTAATTAAGTGCTTTTGGACTGATGCATGCAACACCCGCTGAGTGCCATGAAACAGCTTGAAAGATCAAAGACAATTTTTAATATAACTCCGACTGGATTCGTCTGAAAGAAGAAAGTCATATACACCTAGGATGACTTGAGGGTGAGTAATTTATGGGCTAATTTTCATTTTTGGGTGAACTAACCCTTTAATGCCTGTCAGCACCAAGGTGGACCCAGCTCAGCCAAAAATAGATCAAGTGATATCAACGTTGCCGCCCAACTCTGAGAAAGGGCAGAGAATTACCAGAGCAGTGGCAGCTTTATTGCAAAGGATATACGCCCCTTTTCTGTGGTGGAAAACCCCGGGTTTTGCCACCTGTTGAATACACTGGAGCTCCCACACGCAGCCACTTTTCAGAAAAGATTATGCCGGAACTCTACCACGAAACCAAAGCCCAAATAATGGCATCAATGAGCCAAGCTCATCGAGTTCCAATAACATGTGATTCCTGGACTTCGGTCGAGACAGTCATATGTGACAATAACGGCATATTACATTAGCGAGGACTGTAAGATTTTGTCACATGTGCTGCAAACGAGAGTCGTTTATGAGTCTCACACGGGTGCTCATCTGGCAGAGCTACTGTCTCATGTCGTGGAGGAATGGCAGCTATCAGATAAAGATTGTGCTTGTGACAGATAATGCATCGAACATGATCGCTGCAGCTCAATTCGTAACATTCCCTCACGTAAAATGCTTTGCACATACGCTGAATCTCGCATCCCAGCGCGCTTAAAGTGGCCGCCCTCTCCAGGCTTTTGGGCAGAATCCGACGAATATCAACATTCTTCCATCGCAGCACCACAGCGAGTCACTGTCTGAAAGTGAAACGGCAATGTCTTGGCCTGAGAAATCATAAGCTGGTAACTGATGTTGCAACAAGGTGGAACAGCGCATACGACATGGTCGAGATGTTCTTGGAACAACAACCTGCAATTTGTGCCACCTTGCTGTCACCAGAAGTCAGAAAAGGAGAGACAGATCTGTGCACTCTTACTGAAACAGATGTGACAAATGCAAAGGACGCTGTGAGGGCATTAAAGCCAATGAAGGATGCAACAACACTTATGTCAGAAGAGCGCAATCCGACAGTGTCTCTCATTGCTCTTCTAAATGCGCAACTCCTCCAGAATATGTCAGACACCATCGGAGATCCATGAGATCAAGAATGCAATCAGAACAGATCTCCTGAAGAGGTACAACAGTGAGTCAGAGAAGAGGATCCTTCATACAGCCCCTGCCCTGGATCCCCGATTTAAGGGAATGCCTTTTCTCACAGAAGAGGAACGATTGGAGGTATACAGAGCACTGGCAGAGGAGGCTGCCTCCTTGGAGGTAATTCTATCATGTTTCTTGTACAATATATAAAATTAAAACAAAAAAACACTCATAATATGAATAGTAGCTAAAATGAGTTAAAATGTTTTTTTTTATTAAAACTGAAAAACGGTTATAATCCTAATATATGAGCTGTTGTATTGACTGAGTTCACTGTCTACTAGTTTAATTGTATTTTCAATTATGCCGTTCAAACACAGAATGAGTGTACACCTAGCAGGACAGATGTGGATGAAGCACCTGAGGGAACAGGAACTCCAGGAGAAGAAACATCCATGGAGGACAGCCCCTCTGCTGCTCCCAAACGAAAGGCCTCATCGCTGCTTGTGAGACTGCTGGGGCAGTCTTTCACTGACACTGAAGGTACAGTCGAACCCAAGACCCCCTATGTCATTGCTAAGGAGGAAATGGAGGCATACTGTAAAGCTCCATCTCTGCCTCTCACAGAGGACCCTTTGAACTGGTGGCGTGTCTATGAGGTCACGTTTCCTCTCCTCTCTCGTCAAAGTGATACTTGTGTATCCCAGGCACATCTCAGCAGGAGATGTGGTGACTGCTAAAAGAAGCACTCTTAAATCAGAGCATGTGGACCAGTTAGTGTTCTTAAAGAAAAACCTACACATTCCCAAATGCTGAGCAGTGAATAATGCTGAGTAGTTTGTGATGTTTCAGGAAGTTCCCTGTGTCCAGTGGTGTTATTTTATATTTGTTTTTTGCTTTTATTTTGTGTATTAAAACACTGCTGAAGTGCAAATTTAGTTTTTTGAAGATTGACTGACTATATTCACAAGTAGGTGTGGCCTTTTGTTTATTTTGGTGTATAATTTAATTTAATTTAATGTTTATACATTTTTTATATATTTAAATGGTTTACAAGAAAGTACACTGCACTATATAAGTACTAAAGTACACTCCTTGCATTATGCACTTTTAGTATTTACTTTTGTGTATTTGTTCTAAACGCTCCTGTTGTCTTCTGTGCCCAGACTTGAGTTTTGTTTGTTTGATACATTCAAGAAGCGTGTTTTCTTTGAGCAGGTAAAATTAAAGGTTCAGTTCACATATCTGACTGCTTGCATTTATTGACAAAATTGTATACATGTGAAGTAAAACTGAAAATTGAGGATGCAGTGCATCGTGATATCGAATTGAACCGAATCGATGACATGGTAATCGCAATCGAACCAAACCGTGAGACCAGTGTAGGTTCACACCCCTAATGAACTGGGTCTTATACTGTATATGGACATAAGCTTTTATAACTGAAATATATTTAAATGAATCAATCAGATAAAATCAAGATCTTGTGATTTAAGAATCGAATCTGTATCGATACCCAGCCATTTGTATTAGCTGCTGTGTTGCAATAGGAACAAATGTGTGATTGTTCTGAATGCACCAAAAACTGTTTTAAAATCAAACCGAGAAAATGAGACCAATTATAAAAACCAGAACTGAATGTGATGAAGTAGCGGAATCAATTCCGAGCATCTTTGAACCTCGTCTGTTGTTGTGTCCGTGGAGAGCGGATGGGATTTGTAATCTCAAAGCACTTAAAATGAGCCTTCCCCCTAACGCCCTCTCAATATCCCAATGCTTACAGAGGATTTAAAATCAATCGCTTACATCAGCTTCACATCCCACCAGTGAAGCTTGCCTCTAATTCAATTCTCATCACCTCCACCACATTGTAATTTAATGCTAATGCCTCCCCCTTAAAGGGCGTAAGTGTGTTAAGCTACAACAATGAAATCATTTCAGCGTCTACATCGACAAGGCCATTGACGTATCCATCAAAACTGACTGCCGCTTTTTATAAACCAAAAACGAAGTAAATATTTTGCAGATCCCAGCCGTGGGTTTCACCTTAAATGCGTCCATCTGCTTTATGATTCATTAAGTGTGAGATTCTGATCTGGCAGAATAGCTGCCACATGCACTTGAAGGGAACACAGAGATCACATTGGTTTTAAAATACTTTTCACATATAGAGGATAAAACTGTGCTGAATTTCATAGAAATTATGTGCTTATGATGTGATGGCTTAGGTGAAAAGCTCAAGGTAAACCCCTGAATGGAGTGAATAATTGAGTAGTGAGAAAGTATTGAGAAATATTGTACATTAAGATACATTAAAAGTCTAAACAATTCTTTAAAAACTAAAAATCTCATTAATAACCCAGTTGGAATTCAATTTATTCTTTATTTCCTCTCTCTCTCTCTCCTTCTCTCTCTCTCTCAAAAAAGAGACTAGAACAAGTCTATTTGCTGATCAAACCCACAGATCAAATGGGAATTCGCCAAATTACCATGCTACATGTATCTTTAATATTAAAATGCATTTTATTTATAAATGAGAAATCTATAAAAATGCGCACTTTATATATACATGCATGCACTCTCATGCCAAAGCTCCATTCTTCAGCATAAGGGCAACCACAAACCCACCACCAACATAACTAAACAAAAGCCTTTTCCTTTACTCATAAATGCATAAATAAGTTCATTTCAACATTTACTCTCCCAATCCACTCCCATGAAAAGCATGCTGGGAACTAGAGCAATGCACAGTTTGTTGCCAGCAAAAATAATTCATGTAGGCCCAACACAAAAGGATCAAGTTAACTTCTATTCAACAAATTTAAGTGGATTGATTGATTAAAAATGAAATTAAGTTACTGTGACATGATGTTCAATGACCGTGTTGCTTTTTAAATTAAGTAAATAGAACAAGCATCAAGACCAGAGCCAATTTTAGTCTGATTAATGTCTATACATGCATTCTACACATTATCTAGGTTTGTTAGTCCAGACGATTTATTTTGGATTAAAGCACTAATGTGACTTTTTGAAAAAGAGAAATTATTACTTCAGTTCAACTGAAATGCAAATGTTCGTGTTTGCTAGGGAAATGCTAATGTTTGGACAAGACGTTTACAGTTAAATGGTTCAACATTTCCTCAGAACTGGCACATAGTCAACTTCAATAACACATTTCGGTGTAGATCTGTTAAACATGTTGCTAACACTATAGGCTTATGCTTATCAAAACCAGACTTGATGGAGGGGTTAAAGTAGACATGGCATTACTAATGCGGTGATGCTAAAGGATAAATTTAAGGACTGATTACAGTGAGCGGTGCCATTCCAGGAAACGGAGAGCTGCTGCCATAACTGTGTGCACTTGAATGTGCAAATCCACATCTAGTTTAAATGGGGCACATCGACCAGGCAAAGCTTATCCAGCCTTTACCCAACTGTGTCAATGCTTGGCGGGTCAGAGAGGATGAGGCGCATGGGAAATCCGGGCATTTGCTACCTGTGGACACTGCCAAAACATCATGTTTCCTGCTTTAGTAGCATGCATGCCACAAAGAGAGCTCAGATTAAAACAGCCCAATCCGATTTATGGGCTCTGCAACAGCAAAACAATTAGCTGGTTTAGTTTTTCTAAAGGCCCCTCCTTTACGGGTTTGGGACGGGAGGTTGTGGTGTTTGGCAAAGGGTCAGGACTGTTCCAACTGGCAAATTACCTGGATTAGTTGAACACAATGCTGCCCAATGAAACTGCACTGTTGTCAGAAAAAGCAGTAACTAAGTCTTATTGAGGACATATGGCATGCGCTAAAGCAAAAAGTCAAAAGGGATGTCATTACAGGTCAATGCCTGGATATTCCCTATTATATTAACTTGAAGCTTCTGGTTGTAATTAAAGCCCTGGAAAGTCATCAGGGGCCCGTTCTTCGAAAGTCGCTAACTCGACGTTAGCTGGATTTGATTGTTGACGATTTGGCATGATCTTGGATTGTTTGGTACTTCGAAGCTCATCCCAAAGTTGCTGTCATAGCAACAGGTCCGTAAGCTTAAACCTGTTTGGGAGCAGGCTTATTTCATGCAAACAGGATTAGATTGCATCTTTTTAAGCAGAATTGATACTTAAAATCTGTCCGCTACCACCGCGACTTTATTACAAGAGTACCCTACTAATCCAGGGACAATAATTTAAAATAATAATCATTTACAAATTAATTTAAAGATACTATAATAATAATGTTGTGTAGTCTTTAATACTATAGACACAGCCAGTTTTACTCACTGAAAGATTTATTCGTCATAAAATTATTACTTCATAATTGTATTCGAGTCTTACACACATGCTATACAGATAATGTAGAGTCGTGCATTAATTTGAGTGACGACAGCTACTATGGGAGTGGCTTGATGGAGCGCAGGAGATGCAGATAACATGATCTTGACCCTTAAGAAACATTAACTTGCTGTAACGTAACAAATCTGTTCAAATATAAAATTAAATGAATTGCTAATTACTACATTGAAATAAAATTGTAAAGCCTGTACAAATATTATAAATCGTGAATATAAATAATTGGGAATCATGTAAAAAATTAAAAGAAAATAAAAACAGCGCACATTTCATTTATCTATTATAACATTTATGTAGTTTTGTTCGCTTGGCTGTTTCCTTATAAAAGTCTAAATATTTTTTACGTTTTTCGTCAGGTTTCTTTTTGAATTATATGATGTCATTACGTTGCTGTCTTGCCGCCAGCCAATCGCTGCATTGCTAATTGTGGTTTTGAGTATCGATACATAGCCCCTTTTAAACCAACCCATCAACGCGCAATTATCTCAGACAACTCAATCCAGCCATACTAATCATCAACAACAGGTGCGTTCGAAGAACCAAATTAGCCAGATCCTGATTAGTGCGATGATATCATCTTGGATGTGACATTTCATCTCGGATGTATAAGCGACGTACGAAGAACGGGCCCCAGGTTTGATGCTGCTTTTAAAAAGCATTACCAGCGCATACTTTGGAAACAATTATGGTGTTGTTTGGGCAATTTCTGATTGTTTATCCAGTGATCATTCTAAGGAAAACATGAAACTGCACTTTCCTTCTGAAATTACACACGCAAATGCTAGCTGATTCCATCAAACAGCGCTTAGGGAGATTCCCAAACAGAAGTGGTTTGAGAAGTCCAATGTCAAGGTGTTGTGCAGAGAAAGGCCTTTGTTTAGGTAAAGTGCTGGGGGTGGGATAGTAACTCAGAGGAAATGGCCTGAAATCTTACTAATTATGTTCACGTTACAGTGGATTTTGTCTGTCTTAGGATATATCTCACAATACATACAAAATGTAGACACTTTAGTCCAACTGAAATCATACCGGTCCAATTTTTGAGAAGTCAAGACTAAAGCATTTGCATATGTATAGGCCATTGCTTGAATCTGAAATCAAAGCACAGGTAAATGCATTTAAATGCACTTTAATGCATTTAACACAATTTCTAAAAGGCAACCCGACTGAAAAGCATTTGATGTGTAACTATGTATACAATTAAGATTAAGTTTTAACTTTTCAAGCTACAAATAAAAGCAATGCTGTCACATCTAAAGTTTCTTTTGTACTCTACTGTATATAAAAAAACCCTAGAATCTTTAACATCTTCTGTGTAACTAAAGACCACCACAAATTGTATTGAAAAGGACCATTCTGGCAAGGTATAAGGCTAATGTTACCTTTCCATAAGATCAACTAATTCACCTGTTATCAGATCAGCGGAAGGGTGATCCTTGACTTAAAGGGATAGTTAACAAAACCCTCATGTTGTTTAAAACCTGTATGACTGACTTTTTCTATGGAATGGAAAAGGTTTTTCCCCCCATAAAATGAAAGTCAATGGGGTCCAATGTTGAATTGCCCAACTGTTTCAT